CCAGGTGGCCGGATGCTGCTGAGGAAGCCACTTTGCCTGTCAATGCGTGAGCATCTCCACCTCATTCATGAACCGGAGGCATGGCTCTTCCTTCCACTGCAAGACCACGCATGGCACGGCCACGGCAGCCCCACAGCTCCTGCCACAGCCCACAGCAGGGGCACAGGCAGTGGGGAGGGACTGGAGGGAGTGAAGGTTGAATCTACCCTCGGGACTGGGATGGTTTCAAAATCCAAGCCTGTTCTGCACCCTCCGAGTAGACCTGCTGAGGCACTCCAAGAGCCATATGAAATTAGAGTCCCTGCCACGGAGAGGGGCAGCTACACGGAGGCGTATGGGCTGGGTCACAGTGGGTGGCTTTGTGTGGACCCATATCAAGGCAAAAGGGAGCAAGAGATGCTTGGGAGAAAAGTCTACTGAGAAAGAGACCACTGTCCCCATGGGGGAACTGAGGCAGGGAAGCAAAGGAATGTCCCGAGTCAAATCTTAAGTCCATAGCAGAGGCGACAGGCCTGCCCAGCTCACAGGTCAGTGTTCACTCCTCCACATTGCACTGGTGTGCACTAAACAACCAAGGCCAAGTGCAACATTTTCACAATGTTTTTCTCACCTGACACGATCCAGGTCCAAGGCCAAACTCACCAGCAGAGTTAAGATGAAAGCCAAGACCCTTTTCACACGAAGACCCAGCCTGTAGCACTGGTCTGGGATTTCAATGTGGCATCCATGACATCTCCTTCACTTTGGACCACCACAGAAAAAAGGCAGTCAGACCAGCTCAGACAGTCCACTCCTGTCCCCAGCTGCACCGTTGTTGCTTGCGAAAGCAAAACAGCACTGATGTGATTTCTTCACACTCCATCCAAGGCCTTCAGCTCTCAAGCAGGCTGGCTTTTGACAGATATTTGCTGTAACTAAACTGTCTTCCCTCTAAACTGGCAATAGTTATTTTTAAGTCAGCTTTGATGCTATTTTGATTAAAATGACAAAGAATAAATCCTGACAGTTGTATCCCATGTTCATGTTTTTGGAACCAAAGACTCTGATATGCTTTTTGAAAACAATTTACAAAACGAAGTATGTTAACTATGCTGCCCCAAAAGAATTTTAAAGACATTTCACAAAATGTTGAAATTATAGTGAAATGGGCTGGTCCACTCTAGAGAAGTGGTTCCAGTTGGCTCAGAGGGCTGAATAAATGTTTTCTGGGAACTCTCCAGTTTGTGACTCATTTCAGCCTGGAATATCTATTGGAAGCATGAGACTTTCCTCAATTCCAGTCCAACTCCATCAACACTCACAGAACATAACAGCTGGTAAGACACCACTACGTAATCTGCACCTTTCCAACAACCAAGAACATCAGCTGAGAGGTGAGAGTCTGTTTCTACCAACCCTTTTTCGCGTTGCTCAGCCAGGACCCTGTTGGCTCTCCCTGAACATACTGGAGTAGGGTGGGGAGAGAAACCTCCCATACCAACCCTCACACCGCTGATAGCAGGGGTTGATTTCTCTCCTGACCATCCCTATATCTTTCCCATTTTTGTGGGTATTGCACTATTTTTCTTGGACCTTTCCATGGCCAAGTGGGTTGTACGGATCCTACTTACAACTTCTCCAGCAAACTAGAGACACCATCAGCAAAGATGCTGCAGAGAGCTGTTGGTTCCACCAGAAGTCCGGGAGCATTCCTATTTCTTCCGTCATGCCTCATGTCTCACACAGGTCTGTCCCCACTGAGTGACAGCACATACTTCAGCACCTTGATGGTGAAGGACTGGGATGTTCCAGTTACAGCAGGAAGCTGGGTTTTTTACTGATCTCACCATGGGCAAGCAGGGCAGGGGGGAAGCCAGGTGATTTGAGTGCAAAGTAAAACAAGAACAGAAAATAAAAAGAAAGAAAGAAAGAAAAAAAAAAAAAAAAACGAAAAAAAGAAAAAAAAAAAAAAAAAGCAGATGGAGACCGTGCTTGGAGAGATGAGGATTTGTGCAGCTAACAGCTGTTTCAGATGGAAAGATGTACCAACTCTAATTCTTGCATTTTTAATTTTTGTGTTTCAAGGGTGAGCATTGCTATGTTAATGTGTTTCATTTAATCTATTTTTTGTGCATTTGCTTTTAGCTACTTCAACCACCTTCTGCCTTGAAACTTGTCTGAAGTGGAAGTCTGGGATGCCGGGGGTGCTGGTGTCTCTAATGCCCTCTGCCACTTTCTGTGACACCAGGGAGCTCTGTTTGCTTCGCGTGCTGTAAGAGGCCAACTGACCTGTCCTGACAACTGATGTTCTGCTGGTACCAGTTCTTCTGGAGGGTTTTATTTGCTTCCGATGTTGTGACTATACAAAGTCTAACCTGCAAACTAAAGAAAAAAAACCCCTGCAAAATAAGGTAAAGCCAAATAAAAAAGCCAGACTGTCTGATGACTCAGCCTCTCACCCTCGCTCAGTTATTTATCTGGCTGCAGAATGAAACATGGATTGAGGAGTGCAAGTTTAAATTCTTATTCAAATCAGGAGGAGGGAGCAAAACTGACCAAAGCAAAGACCGCAGCCAGGGTATTGTGCTGGAGATGAGACAAACAAGTGAAAATAAAGCCCTTTTGGCCCAAGCAGCATTTCTACCTAATTCTCCAAGCTAAACCAAAGCCTGGACTTTGGTCAGTGCCAGGCGGCTGGACAAGCAGTCCGCAAACACATGGTGCAGGTCTCTCCTGAGCCAACAGCTTATGGGGACGGAGCTTGGGTTTGAAACAGAGCAGGACTGTGCCGGCGGCTGTGCGAAGGAGCTGACATCCTCTCGCCAGCCCAGGAAAGGTCTGGAGGAAGAACTCTCCTGCAGTCCCAAAGTTATGCCCCACTAAAGGCTTTTCTCTCCTTGAGTTTTGGTGCCTGAGCTCACCAGACTGCTCTCAGCATCACCCTCTCTACTTCCCCCACGTTTGTGTGGCAATGCCAACTGACATCATGCACAACCTGTCTTGAGAAGGACTTCGAGTTTTATCGGGAAGGGGTTTTGCTGTCTGCCAAGCTGAGGCACTTACCTGCTCTTTAAACTCCTAAACAGACACTTGTGTCTGGTCCAAACCAGTATCTCGTTTCCCCCATGCCTCTTCCATCTTTTTCTGGACCTGTCTCCACCTCATCCACTTCAGCACCAGGAAAGCTCCGGCTGAGCTGCAGAAGATGGCTGAGAGCACCCATGCACTCTGCTTCAGTGTCTGTTGGATCGTAGTGAGGACTTCCCTTTGGGTGCTGGCTCCCAGGAGCTAGTGCTGCAGGATCCTGAGGTCTAACAGCTGGCTGGAAGCAGGAAACGGGGGGGTGGGAGGAACAGTAAATCCCTTCCAGAGCCACCCACAAAGAGCAGCTGGAATGCAGAGCGCAAGTATGCATAGGGAAATTCCTTTTATAAATAGGACCCTTTCACCCTTGCAAAGATATGGAGGGGTACACAAGCAAAGGACACTGTCCTTTCCTTGAAAAACAAGGTCTCTGCATGCTCAGATCTAGCAGCAATACCACCTGGGCAGGTTACCTGTTTAATGGTAAAGCTCCCATCTTCCCTATAAGATGACAGTTAAAAATCCTTTGCTCCTGGCCTGCGATAGTCATGGCCGTTCCCCAGAGTCCCATCCGGCAGGAGCTCTGTGGCTGGTGCCACCCCACAGCAGTCCTGCAGAGACAGGGCATCTTCTGGGACCTGCTTCCTGCTCTGTGCTGAACGGAGGGTGGTGAGTCAGGCTGAGAGGCCAGGGCTCGCTGTGTGACTCAGACCTGCTCGTGACTGTGTGAGGCTGCAGGGTGACTGTGAATCCCTGCCCAGCCCCAGATAAAGAACGAGAGCGATGTCATCCCCTGGCCCTGTGGCTTGCTCTTTCCATTGGGGAAATACTGTCTCCAGCCCCAGTGCCAGGAAAGACATGCAGGCTTGGAGAAGGCACAGATCGTCACTAACATTGATGCCTTGTTTCAAGCCACACTTCCTTATTCAAGCATTTCAGTCTCCTCCATCACCCTCACCTTCCCTTCCAGCTTCTTCCTAGAATAATAGAATGATAGAATCATTAAGTTGGAAAAGACCTCTAAGATCAAGTCCAACTGTCAACCCAACACCACCATGCCTACTAAACCATGTCCTGAAGTGCCACGTCTACATGTTTTTTGAACACTTTGAGAACAAAGGACAGGTCAAGAAACATCACACAATTGTCACAGTGAGGTTGGAAGGACCAAACAGTGCAAACGGTCTAAAGGTAGCCACAAAAATGCCTGAACTCAGGTTTCCCTCCAGTGCTTATAGGCAATAAAAAACCCCCGACCTTCTTTTTCCATTGCTTAACTGGAAGAAACAATGAGGAACAGGACTGAAGACAGACCAATTGCTATTTCTCACATTTTATGCTAAAACAAAGAAAATTAAGCTTTCCACTACTCACTGTCCAACTAAATGTCAGAGCCCACTGCCAGCAGATGGTGTGGAGATCAAGAGAGTAAATGAGTTCAGAAGGGACCCAACGAGTTCATGAAGGAAAGCTTTCTTGGTAGCTATTAAAAATGATGGGCTGACTGCCAGTCTTTGCCAAAAAGTCTTGTCGCCAACCAGACGGGGAATCCTGCACTTATCAAGGTTATACTCTCCCACAAACATCTGCTCCTGCCCACTGTTGGGAGTAAAATATTGGGGTAAACAGCTTTGGTCTCATATCATGCAAACAGATATTGTTCCACTGTAGTTATTGGACTTCTTTGGTCCAGCATTAACTCTCATTCCTTTCTTTGGTTTTCTTTGACTCAGTTTAACTCTAACAAAGAAGGACAATTTGGACAGAGATGACATTTTTGCTGACTGTTTTTAAACAGCATTTATTGCCAGTTTACTGAAACGGTGGTTCAGAGTCTGCAGGTTGCTATCTACTTTGCTTTGTGCATCAGGTAGAAGGTGGCTGGAGTGAAGGGCAGGGAATGAAAAGTCATCATAGTGAGGGCAGGTTCCCAGAAATCACACATTTCTCTTCATGCCGTGGGCAAGTGTCTCCACCTCCTTCATGAAGCGAAGGCACAGCTCCTCCTGCCACGGCAGAGCCACGCATTGGACGGCCACCGGCAGCCCCACGGCTCCTTCCACAGCCTGCAAAAATTAAGCATGGTGCTATGTCAGAGCACCAGAGCACCTGGGGAGGCACAAGAGACAACACTGTCTTTTGACAGTATAGGAAGAGAAGACAAGGGAAGACATGCAAGGGGACAGTTGCCAGGCTGATGTACACCAGCCTAGCTGCACCACATGCCAGCTAGTAACATGGTGTATGCAAACGGCACTACTAAACAAGCTCCCACTCTCATCAGGAGATGCAGACAAGCCTTGGGGCAATGTGTCAGAGGTGTCACCTTGTGCTGCAGCTCTTCTTCGTCGGCTCTTGTGACCGTGCTGACCGGCACCACCCCAGCAGGGAAGTTTAAGACATTGTATAAATTGGTATAGGAGGTTGCAGCTGGAAAAGACAACACAGAGCATGCAAAAAGGCAAAATTTAGTGTGCTGGGCCAGCAGTGACTTTCAGATGACAATTTGGGTTGCAAGAATTGTAGACTGGGGTTGCTGCACAGAAAGAGACCATGAAAACGTGCTACTTTCAAAGGCACTTTTGATGGAGAGGTTTGAGGGCCTCAAGGCTGCTGAGACCAGAGAAAGACCCATAACTTCACCAGTCAGTCAAGTGGAGGTTAGATCTGCTCTGGAAGAGACAGATACAAGCATTTGATCTGATTCAGAGTCTGCACCTATATCTCCCATACTCCAGGGAAAAATCCCAGCTATCTTTTCAAGATCCATCCAGATGTCCAGTTCTGTAATGCCATCTTGGGGATTTAGGATCCTAAAAGGCCATTGCTAGAGAGATTATTGACCCTGACTCTTTGCTAGAAGCTATAAAAATTGCCTTTTTCTGCAAGTCACGGGCAACGAGCCTTTCTGCTATTTGCAAAACCTTGGGAAACGTAAGATGGCACATTCAGAAGGTCCTGGACTTGTGGTAATGTCTACCAGCCATCTGACAACTATCCTCACAGCCACTATCTGCTGCAAGAGTAGCTCTTGGGCTTTCTATGGGACAGACGGTGCAGGGGAAACTCACCCGTCAATGACTGGGACAAATGTGCCACTAATTGCTGCCCCATATAACCCAAACACCTGCAGCTCGGATGAGGTGGGAGCATGAGAAGACCCACCCAGAGAAGACCTCTCCTTTGCTTTCTTCCCCAGAGGGAAGACCAAGTACCGCACATGGTTTGGGGCATATCCAAGAGACCAAAATATCTTGCGCTCCAGCTCTGCCCACAAACACCACCATGGACTCATCCAGAGACACCTCAGCAGAGATTACCAAATAGCTTCCCAGCGTAGCCATGGTTAAAGGCTGGCCCCAATGCAGGACAAAGAATCACATCCAGCCTTAGCTTCCGCCATTTAGCAATGAATTCAGTGCGGTAAACCTAGAAGGAAAGACAGAGATGATGACAAACAATGTCTGTTGGACAGCAGTGGTAGATCAATGCCTACAGCATGGGAAAAGGAGGAAGAAAACCATTCCAGATACAACTGAAAAATCAAATAAAATCTGAGCTGTGCTTTGAAAGAGCCAATGGATTTTGTTCTTCCACCCTTAGGTTTTTTGTCAGAATACCATGTGCTGCCCAGACCCAGACATTAATGCTAGGCAGGCATTTCAGAGTTGATTTCTTCGAGTATTAACTCAATCCTTCCTATGAAGATCTTTGAATTTTATTGAATGGAAATCAACAACAGTTTGAAGCATTATGTCTAGCTGACTAAAAAGTCAGATTTCCTAAAAGCTTTTGGTTATTATGGTAGAAGAATCTAGAAGACATGATTTCAAAATATTTTCACAAAAACTTCTTTCATTCTGCAGCAGGATACAGGTAAGGAAAAGAAGCAGCAAGAGACAGCTAGGCAAGCCCAAGGTCTTCCACCCACAAATCAGGAGGCACAGCTTCAGACTTTAGTGTAGATCTGAGAGAGAACTAGATTTGTAGTGTGGTTTACCACAGCTTTGCTGGACATCAGGCAATGAATGAATCCATCCTCAAAGAGCTGTTCCACTTTGTCTTAGTAAATAGACATGCATGGACCACAGAACGGCTGTTTCTGCAGAAATTTTCTGGGTACAGGGACACATTTGTCCAATGGTCCAGCACTGTTCTGCACAACTCCCTCACTCCAAGTCTTCTGTACAAGAGTCTTCCACATCTTTCATGAAAGCCCCAGCCATGAGGCTATTTTTTAGTCTGACCTCAACTTCCATCTGCAGTCTGAAATCCTTCATGCTGAAAATTCAACAAATAAGTTGGGTTTCCAGGAAATACAGTCAGTGTAGCTAACCTGATTCTTTTTCCGAGAGAAAAGCTGGTCGCTAGCCAAAGGTTTTGAATCAGCTCTTGTTTTCAGTAGATGAAAAAATGTGAATATGGTTTCACTGAAGAAAAACAATTTAAAATATCTCTGAGGCCAACAAACCTTTTTAAGAGTTTTACTTTTGGTTGGGGTTTTTTTTGCGGAGGGAGAGGAATCTGTTTTCACCTAAAAAAAACCCCAAACCTATTCCCTTCCAAACACTCCCACCACACCAGTAACTGGGCAGGTTTGTAGGAGTTTTTCCTCTGCCCTATAATCCATCAGACCTGCTGCAAGTGAGTGTGCATTCCATCGAGTGACTGGCACTGATGGAGGCTGCGTGGTGCATGCTGGGGGCAAGTTTCTTCTCGGGGAGGGCTGTGAGGGTGTCCCAGGGAACACAGATCCTGCCTTGTGGGAGGACCCTGAAACAGCTCAGCTTCTTCAGCCTTGCAAAACACCAGCTGAAAGGGGATACAACTATTTTCTATAAATAGACCAAGGACGAGGAAGGCAGTGGAAAATACCAGGGAGGAGAGGTGCTATTTAAGCTCAAGGACAGAAATAAAATGAAGATAAACTGGAAGTGAATAAACAGCACAGGAAATATGAAAGTTTCCAACCATCAAAGCAGGGGGGAGAGGAGCCAGCCAATAAAAACAAATGCAAGCATATAACTCAACTGGTTTTAAAGAGGAACCCGATAAGTTTGTGGGCATCACTGGACTCTGCTGTCCAGGAGAATATTTCCTGTCTTTTGCTCCTGATCCCAAATGAGTTCATATGAAATCCACCTAAACTGAAGAGTTCACAGCCACAATTTTTGACTCCTAAGGTCTCTGCTTGATAGTTCAAGCATGGTCTTAGCTCGTGACAATAGCACCTAATGTCTGAAGTGAGGGATTTGCACCAAGAGACAGAAAGCAGAAAAAATTGAAGCCTCATCTTTAGTGGCTCTTCTTATGCTATTTCTGCTTAGAAAAAGCAGGGCAAGGGATAATCTTTCTTCACATTCCTCCTGTAAGTAGAGACCTCCACACGAATGTCTACTGCCTTGAGGTCTTATCACTTCTTGCAAAGCTTGACTTTCAAAGAAAAGCCTAGCTGTTTTATTTCCACATGATCCATTACAACCCTGAATCCATCCACAGAGCTCAAAGAAATTGCTTACAAACTTTAGGGATCTTCCACTACATTCAGTAAGGGAAAAAAAAAAAATGCAAAGCACATTACCGCCACTGCTGCATGCTGATCCCAGAGGTTTTTGGCAGACCTGGAAAGGTGGCAGAATTAATCAGCTCTGTGACTGTGGCAAACAGAAAACAATTAACAAAATGCACAGACAGCCCATTGTTATGGAAACTGCGTGACCCTACTGGGAACAAGCTATGGTATCACCCAGATGATTCCACTGGGTTCACAGGTGCTTACAGGTACATCAAAAGAGCTTCTGTTAAAAGCATGCCACCATGTCTAGGTGCTCTGGCACCCAGACAAAGATCACGGCAGTCTTCTAAATCCACTTGTTCCCAGTTTGGTGTGTCTTTATCTCTTGTGGATGGGCAGGTACTTCACACCACACTGCACTCGCATGCAGAGACTTCTGCCTTAACTTGGCACATGATGCTCTGGGTACCACTTGATGGGGAAAGTGGCCCATATCTCTCTGTGCTGATCTCCATGGAGACATCCTAGCCCTGCCATGGTGAGGATCCTTAAGCTCTTCAAATAATCTCTGGTTGCATAGCCCTGGATAACACTGTGCTGAGGCAGCACATATTCATCTGGTTGAGCCTGTGTTGCACAACCCTAGGACAGGGCTTTGCACAGCGAGCTGGCGTCTACCTGCATGAACCAGTGGACACATCTATGTTCATCCCCCTTCTCTAGAACTACTTCAGTGCGTCTTACCCCACTCCACGGAGAGCGTCGAGATCCCGAGCGATTCGTGGGTACTTTCAGAGGGAACAGGAAAATTTAGGATTAGTCAGGAACAATGCAGCTGAAATAGCTGGCTAGCATGTGATTGCATTTTGGGCACACTTCTTGTCCTAGCAGAAGTTGCTCTGAAGAACAGGTATGGTTTCCAGTGAAGTGGTTTTACTCCCATGTTAATTTATACGTTTTATCACAACAACCCATGCCACTAAGGCTCTAGACCCCACTTCTAGCCCTGGAGAGCATCTTCTGTATGTGGGGATGCTGTTTAGCTCCTTGCTAGTGATATCCATTCTCTTGGAAGCCATTGCTGGATGAGTGGTATGGCTCATAGGTTCCTGAAAATGGATTGTATTTCAATGTCCCCATGCAAAATTCCCATAAAAGGCTGTCAGACCTACTTGATAAGTTTAGCCTGGGTTTAGGGACTAAGTGTATTTCACTGTGAAGCCCACCAGGCACTTAACATGAAGCAGCAAAGCACTCCCAGAGGGGAGCAGCCTACCTCTCTGCAAATGGAAACTTCGCAGATTGCCTATAACACAGACAAAACACATCCACGCACTTACTATGGGTTTCAGAATGATAGCCAAGATCCTTTTCACCAGAGCAGGAAGCCTGTAAGTATTGAACTGAGATTTCAGGTTGGGATCCACGAAGTCTCCTTTGCTGGAAGGGCAGAGAGTGAAGAAGTAGTCAGGACAAGCCATCTGTGCCAGAGCTACAGCAACAGCAGTGCTGTTGCCAAAGCAATTTGTCCTAGAGGGGAGTTGCTAGAAGACAAAATCTGCCTATTTCAATCTGAAACACTGAACAAGAGATGCCCGTGGGGTTTGGATGCACAGATGTAAATGCTCACTGAAAAAGTTATAGAGAAATAGGTACTTTACTGCCATAAAGGCTCTGGAGTGCTTTGCAGCGCTGGGGCCACATACAACCCTGGGCATGTTTCACCTTGAAGTGAGCAAGTGGTTGGGGTGGGTGTTTGGCCACTAGCCAGGGCTAACCCACCACACCTCTGTATGAAGTTCTGTAATGTGTGATGTTTCCCATGTGTCAGAGACTAATCACACACAAAACCCGTTGCCACAGCACTGCTGACACATGGCGTCTTATTACCTTATCGTGTTACCTGTGCGTGTGAAGTGCTCTTGTGAACTAGCTGCTGCTCATGCTAAATTCGTCCTTCCAGAAATTGCTCCTCTGCTGCTCATTACTCAGTTTGGACCCACAAGAATATAAACACTCTGGATGCAACCACTGGCTATACAGTGCCGAGTCTCATGGCCCACACTGAAGTGGGGGTTTTACTCACAAGCAATCCACCATGTGAGCAGCACCATCTGAGAAAATCCCTCTGGTGAACAGCTCATCTACCACGTAGTCAATCTTGGGCGGTGCAAAGGGAACAAGCTGCAAGACAATCATACCCGTTCAAGAGGCAACAAAGATGAATAATTCATAGAGCCCTCTGTGAACCTCTGCCTCACTAGTGAGGTGAGTGGGAAATGGTGGGAAGCTTAGGCCCTCCCTGCTGCTGCAGGACAACAAGACCCCATTCTGAAAGGGACCTGGGTTAGCAGCATCTGCCCACTGTCCTTTCCCGTCTCCAAGTCATTAACACATATTGTGACCTAGCACAGGCTTCACTCCTCCACAGGTCAGAGAAGAATTTTTAGAGGTTTCTAAACACCAAGTATTTTTAATTAATTTGCACCATTGGAACAGCTCCCATAGAGAAATCCCCACTTGTGGAACCACAGAATAGTTTAGGCTAGAAGATATCCCTGGGGGATCAACTGCTCCAACCCTCTTTCCACTTAGCCACTAAGAAATCTGTAAACAGAGTTTAACAGCTGAGGGATCGTGGAAACTGTTGTTTGATATTTATGGGAACATCAAACATGATGGAAAAAACAGTGCTTTAGAAAGGTAGTGATCTGAAGATATCTGGAGGTGATTCTCCTATCTGCTAGGCCAGGAATATAAGCAAGATCGCTTCATTTTGGGAAACAAACTGTTGCATTTTTGTTCCTCTTCACAATCCTTGCAGCAGGCAGCGATGGTCCCTGTTTTATGGGCAGCAGAAGTGGAGATGGGACGTGACTTGTCCAAACTCTGTAAGGAGCTGGATAACAGCCCCAGGCAACCACAGGCATGAAAACCCACCGTATGCCCTGCATCCTGGAGCAGCTTTCTTGTCTGCTGGATGGCTCGTTTCATGCTGGGTGAGGGCTGGAAGTAGCCATCTCCTTCATAATACCCAATCCGAAGTGGCTTTGAACTGGTATAAACCTGTAAGAAGACGAGCCATCACTTGCACATGTGAGACGTAAAAGACTGGACCATGCCCAGGGCTCAGAGAGGCAGCAACTGAGGTCTTCTGGGTTGGAGGAATGATGGGAGCAACAGGGCTGGTGGAAAGCAGTGTTGTCCAGAATATCGGTCTGCAGCAGTGGTCCTTGGTCTTTCTGACACCACCTCCTGCCATGTGAACACATCCCAACTTTAAGATAGCAGGTGTGATAGCACCTGTACAGACCACACGCCTGGGATGCCTGGCTATGGATGGAGGTCAGGGGGCTGTTCCTCTAGGGCAGGTGACTGATCTGTATTGTCTGGGTGTCACGGACAACTCAAAGATCCTAGGACCTGAGCCAGGAAGACACGATCAGATGGCAGAAGCAGAGAACTAATGGCAAAGGGCAATGGTTTCTTAGGTCAGGGAGTGTTAAATCAAGCTCTCTAATTAAAGGTGTGAGGGGTGAGTTCCTCTGATCCATACAAACTAGCTCCTTTAGGGATTGGGACAGGATGGAGCCAACAAGCTTGTTTTGGACATTGCTGGGACGGGAGGGTGTCAGTATCTGGACGGTCTCATCAGGACAAGCCAACAGAGGCCTGCCAAACCTGCTGTGTGGCTGCTTCTTGTGGTTGCTCGTGCTGCTTGTCCTCTGTTCAGAAGGATACTTGCTTCCCTGGGTCCTTCACTATCTTGAGTCATGAAAACAGGTAGGAATCTCCCAAGATCTCACTTTGTTGCTGGGCAAATGTAGACATGAGATTGCCTCTGAGCCTTACCTCCTCATCGAAGGGGATGGGGGGTACGGTGGGGTCCAGCCGGAACATCTCCTGGCAGAGCAGTGCCTTCATGCAGAGGGCCAGGCTGTCCACATCCCTTGCCATCGGCCCCAGCACTCCAGTCACTGCAAGCACAAAGGTCCTGTCGCTGCAGGCAGATGGGATGGTTCTCTCTCATAGTTACTGGCAGGGGCCCAGCGTGGAAGAATTTCAGTCAGGCCAGGGAAGAGGAACGGGGAAGGAGTGTCACGTGCAAGCAGTGAGCAAGGAGGTGCAGCAGGGACAACCTGTGAGTCTCAGAGCAGAGGCAATCTGCTGAGGCTGACCTTTGGGGCCAGTCGTCTGCAGGCACAAGGCCTGCTCAAGAGGAGCGAGGACTGCAGCCTTCCTGCCAACAGCAATACTGCCTGGCAGCAGCTGAAGCCAGCAGAGTCTCCAGGAAGCATCTGCAGTGAAATGCCCCAGGCCTTTGGGACGCACATCTCACATTTGTGACTGCTACGCATTGCATTGCCTGAGCAGGTGTTGCTTCCATTCTGCTCGGATTCAGCTAACGCCTACCACCATCCAGAACAGAATAAATGGTGCAAAAAGGTAACAGCACAAGGCAGGCCCCGGTCTAAGAGATCACCCGTTTTGGCTGCCCATGAGACACATAATTGAGCAAGCACATTTACTGGCATGTCAGCAGCAGGAGGAGATGTAAGAGGGAAAGGTTTGACAGCAGTGACATGTCAGCTGGATGGACTCACCTGATTTCATTCCTGTGATAGAAGAAACCACACCCAGTTTGCTAGGAACATAATGGGAGAAGCACATTAGCAGCAGTTCTCACTGTAAGGCAGGTCACTGTGCTGAGTTACAGACTTCCCATTTGCCCTCGGTCAACATCTAGGAGGGCAAAAAGTCCTGCAAAGACGTGACGCTTTCTAGGCTAGGAAGACTTCCATGGTCTGTAAGCTGCTAGTGGCTAGAGAGAGTTGTTATCCTCTACTTTCCGTGGTGCATCTAATTCCTCATCTGTGAACAAAACACCTCTGATAAACAGAAAACTTTTACAAGCAAAGCAAGGGCTCAAACACATCTGAAAAGGAGATGACCCTGTAGTATTTGCTTTCAGATTCCCAGCCAGGTCTATTAAAAATGGAACAAGTCTTTGCTGTGTTAGCAGATGGAGGTCATCACATGTCCTTAATAGAGCCCTTAAACCTAGCTGACACAAGGCAACAGGCAGGTAAGGGTGCTGATTTAAACCTGGAGGAAACCACGGACACCATTGCAAAGTTTGATGCACTGTGGGAGACACTTTGCAGTCTCCTTGGTGGGTGGAAGAAAGGGACAGACGTTGGGACGTACCTGATCCTGTCACCCGTGGGTTTGAGCCCACACAGCCCGCAGAAGCTGGACGGCAGGCGGATGCTGCCAGCTACATCTGAGCCGATGCCCAGCATGGAGCCTCCCCCTGCGATCAGAGCTCCCTCCCCTCCCGAGGAGCCCCCGGGGCTCTTCTGGTGGTTGAGGGGGTTCAAGGTCTGGCCGAAGATGGGATTGCTGCAGTCGTAGCTGGGGAGAGGAAGATCAACAGGTGAGTGAGGTACTTCTGTCTCTGCAAATCATAAATACAGGGCACAGATCATCCGCGCAGGGATGAGTGTGGAATTAATCCCAGCAGGTAGAATTCGCATGAAGTAGATTTGTTGGGACAGCTGAATTTAAGAAGGAAGAAGCATCAAATGTAAGAGAAATAATTTCAGATTGAAATAAAGAGACAATTAACTCAACGTGCATGATTAGCTTGGACAAGGGTGGGAGCTTGAGCATGCGGGCCCACCCTCTTTCAGGTAGCAAGAGTCACATGTCATAGCATTTTCATGAAGAGGAACACACAATTACTTTATCATTGTCTGTGGAATGTTGGTTTTCACAAAGGGGATTGCCCCCTGGCTTTTTAGAACCTGGACGATGACACTGTCTTCTTCCATCACTTGGCCGAGAAACTTCACCATCCCTCCAGAGGAGATGTGGCCCTTGGGGATGGGAAGAAAAGCTCATTAGGTATCGGGAAAGATGCTGTTTGGAGCTGTGATGATAAGTCCTGATGCCTCCTGTGACAAAGTTCCCACCTAACTTTTCTCACAGGCAGAACAAGACCTGACTACCCCAGGGAAAACCAGATCAGAGCAGGTCAGAAAACAAAATTTTCGTCAGAACAAAGGCAGGTTTGTTGGCCCCACAATATTTGGTCCAGAACTCTTAGCCAGTCCTGAAGAGGATGGGACACGCTGGCCTGTTCCCAGCCCAGGCCAAGAGGCAGGGGGATTAGAGATGTACCTTGCAGTTAATGTGGTCTTTGATACTGATGGGAATGCCGTAGAGCAGCCCCTTCTCCTTCTGCTGCTTCAGTTTCTGGAGTTGATCCTCACAGCCGTGAATGAAGTCTACCACGCAGTTCACTTCCCGAGTCACCTCCAAAGCCTCTCCAGAACAGAGAAGAGCAGCAAGACAGATGAATGGACAGAAGGAAGTAGACAGTATTTAAATTGAGTTTTCAAGCTGAAAATTCAATCTCCTCAAACCTCTGGCATTCATTATTCAGACCTTACCTATAAACTTTAAGTGTTTCTTGCTGGGATAATTTTCTGCCCTGGATCTCTGTCCTACTTATGGTTGCCTGTAAGTCACCCTTCAGACATCATAGTATTGACAAATTGCAGTCCCCAGCACTGCTGGTTCTCTCAGCAGATGAGCTGGTTTTTAATTTGAAAGCCCCCACTGCAGAAGAGCCCCGCCACATCTCTTCCATGCTGGAGGTATCACTCACTTTGCCCATGTAGGAGTAGAGGACATTTTCTGGGGGCAGGGACCCATCCTTCAGCTTCTCCACCAGCTCCACCATCGTCAGTGAGAGGACATGTGCAGTCTGGGTGCCTGGGTTCTAAAAAGGGTAGAAAATTGTGTGCAGAGGGAAGAAAACGACAGAAAAGGCTGGTGTTGAGGCTGAGAATACCAAACTCTAAAACCTGCCCAGCAATGACCTTGAATGGAGAATCTTAGGAGACATTCCCTGTAGAAAAGCAGACCTCCCACATAGCACTCCTTGTGCTGGAGTGGGGAATTTGCTGACGCGGAATTTGCTGAGTCTTTGTTCATAAAAACAGAAATAGAACAGGCAGAAAACCGCATCTTGACTGGAAAGTTGCATGAACCTGTAAGAGAGGTTCGACCTGTCTCTGTTTACTCTCCTGCAGGCCTTTGTGCCCATTCTATCTCAGACAGTGTGTTGAATAGCAGCTCAGCCAGCTAAAGTTTTACAAAATTTATCATTAACATGGGGAAAAAAAAGTGTGTGGGCTGTTAGCAACCTCTCACCCAAGAAAAGCATAGCAGTATGTGTTTGTTATGGGTTTAAGACAAATCCCATATCCAAGGACCTGACCTCCTAAAATCCAGGTGCTTCTTTACCTGGGCGTGGGCAGGAGGAAATGGCATTTGGTCAGCGATGTGCAGATGTTGGAGGGGTATGAAGGCCCCCCCATATTTTGAGGATGATGGGGCAGACAAGTCCTTGTGGAGGGGCAGAGATAAGGAGGATGGAATGGGAAAGGCTTGGCAGTAGGGACAGATGAAGAGAAAAGGGCATAGGGAGGTCTGGGGTAGTGATCTGATTAGGAGGGTCCCAAACTCCGATCCATCTTTCATCCTCAGATTCCCTCAACAGGTCTGTATTAAGAAATACTTTTCACTCTCTTTATGGGAGGCTTTTTTGTGACAATGGAGGGCGGTGGCCCTCAAAAAAATTGGTGATGATCCAAAACGTGCACATGCCCTAACCATCATTCAAAGAGGGATTGATGAGCACTCCCCCATTTCTTTGGTTACCCAAAGTACAATCTCTTCCTCCCACACACGTTTTCCCCCAAATTACCTCTCGCTTAAACCTGTGAACTGCCTTCTCCATTCGTTCCAGGGCCAGATCCCGTGTCCTCCTCGCCTCCTTCATCTTCTGCTGGATCTGCCTGCGTCCCAGCCATTTCAGTAGCACAGCGGCTGCAGCTGAACTGCAGAGCAGAGCTGAGAGGGTGCGAGGGTGTCCCCACAACGGATCTAGGACCTGCCACAGTCGCTCTTGGGTCATGATTTCTTTCCCAGTCCTTCCTGTTCTGGTCCAGCTATGGGCACCTGGGTCTCCCACCTTCTGCTACGGAGGGCTGATGAATGCAGACTGTGCGATTGCCTGCTGTGCAAGATCAGCTCTGAAGCAGAGTTGCATTAACAAAGTCCAGGAATGGACTTTTTAGACCATGGACTTTGAAAGGGTCTGCGTACTGGAGAAGCACTGTGGGCTGGGCTGCGAAGTAGTGTGCTCAGCTCACAGCAGGGTTGGGAGGGGTGTCCCCCAAGGCTGTGTCTCCCCAAGCCACTGGCTGGTGGGGGACCCGCGCTCAACAAAGCCACTGGCTGCTGTGGTACCTGGCTACACACAGGGGACAGAGCTGATTAACAAAACTGAATGTCTGCAAAACCCTGGTCTGGGCTATCCCTACTATACCCAGGTCTAATAATTAATTAGAACTTCAGCCCGTTAACCAGAGGTGCTCAGCCATCCTCTCTGTCCCTCAGGCAGCAGCATGTGCAGCCCTTTGAGCCTGGGACAGTGTAGCTCTGCTTGTCTTGGGAAACCTGGTGCAGGGGTGAAATTGCACCTATGGAGAAGAGAGAGCTCAGGAGAACCAAGAGTATGAAGGTGCAAGCAGGACCCAGTGACTCTGGAAAGGCAGTGTGGAAGGAGCTATCTGAAGATACCTTCAAGGAGTATGACTGCTCTGTGTCATTTTCAAGCTAAGCCCCTTTGAAAAGCATTTTGGCAACCCAGATCAGGGGCTGAGCACTTTTGGGAAATCCTCTCTGATGGACCCAGTATCCTATCTGCTCTCCAGTTTCTAAGCCATCTTCCAGCCAGCACAAGGCAAAGGAGCTGGACTATACAGCCTTGCCAGCCCCGGGAGCTGCCCCTTGCCACAGGTGCTCCCCACCCACAAGACTGTCCCCAAGAGTACAGCAAGGAGGGACTGAAAAATCAAACTCCTCTCAAACCTCAAGGGTCTGCAAGCCTACAGGGAAGGAACAGGAGATGTCTCTGAAAATTCATTGCCAAGATGCAAGGCAGCGTTGCCATATCTGGAGAGATGCCATCTCTACCTCAAGAAGTGGGGTAGCAGAGCTTATGAGGAGGCTGCATCCAGGGTAATCATTGCTCTTTGGTGGACACGTCTTGTTTGAGGACCCCCAGTGATTGTGCTGCTGTCAGGTTACCTTGCCTGTTACAGACACATCCCATGGGATTACTCCTGTGGCAGCAGCAAGGGAGCTCGGGGGAGAAGCGAAACCTCATAGAGAAATTGGTTGATGACTGGAAAAGTGAGGAGGACCCTCGCTGTTCGGCCAGGATGGAGAGCAAAAAGAGCCAGACAACTCAATGTGGATGTCATCGACCTCTCCCCACTGACTGTGGGGATGTGGTCTTCATTGCCCCGTCCCAGCCTCAAGCTTCAGTGCTGCCATTCCCACCGACCTCGCTCTGTCCAGGCTGGGCTGGCAGCAGCCTGCAGCTGGCCCTTTTTGGCAACCTCAAGTCCCCAAAGCCACACAGCAGCTTTGTCCCTGCCTGGTGCACTGTCCTGTGGCAGCAGGCCCAGCTCGCTGGAGGTTTTCACTCAGGGCTTCCAGTGAGGAGCATTTACTGGTTCAGGTCCACTGGTGTCTCCGTCGTTTGGACTCTTGCACCCTGCCCGCCTCTGTGCCAGGGACAGAGCAGTTAAACCAACAGAGCAATGCAGTGCTTGGCTCTCTGGGAGCACGGGTGCAGGTGGCATCGCCTCTCCTGGGACAAGCTCCTCCAGGCTTGAAATTCAAAATGCAAACAGATAACCCCCATCCAGCATTTTCTGTGTGGGCAGGGAGCACCTGCAACGGGTGCAAAACCCCACCCAGGCTCTTCGGTGACTTGGCTTTATTAGCATCCAGTCTGGGATGCCTGGAGCTCCCTCGATCCTTTTTTCAAAGCCTGGTGATAAAGAATCAGGGTCCCGGGAGCTACTTTCTCCTAGGCTGGGATAAACCTCTCTGCCCAGCCCTTGAAAAGACCCCATGCTTTTGCATGACTCTGGTTTAAACAACAATAATACATTAAAAAAAGCAAAACATAAATCATGTCAGAGCTCTGTTACAATATGCTGGTGACAGTGCTGCATTGGGAAAATGCTCCTGCGTTGCAGAATCCCTTGCTGGAGCACCCTTGGAAACCTGCCAGGAGAAGTCCATGCTGCCAATTCCGGTGTCAGCGGCCGACAACAGCTGGAAAACCCCTCTGGAAAACATGGCAGGGCCCCCTCCGCCAAACGGGAGGAGAGGGTGTGCAGGGCAGGCTGTCCAGCCCTGGCACGCTGCTTTATACACGCAGAATCATGAGCTGAAGCACTTCATACCTCTGCTCTGGAGAAAGCAGGAGTAGGTGTCTGAGAGATGGGAGTTAATCTCTGCTCTGTGGCGTGCAGGTGCCAGCAGCCCTGCACTGTGGGAAGCGGTCCAGCTCCTTCCCTGCTTGCCAGAGCCTGCAGGCAGGCTCAGCTTTGACCCCAGATTGCTGGCCTGCAGCAGGGAAAACACCGGATTTTGTCCTCAGGGAGCTGAGAATGGAGGGGAAAATCCCTTTTCCTATAGCACTCCAAGCAGGAGTCTGATTGTCTTGGACAAAACCAGTCCCCGTGCCTCAGTGTCCCCATTTGTAAGAGAAAGATGATGTTCTTGCAGTTCCCTGGGGGGTGTCAAGGGAGTTATTAAAATCCACTCCACCCTCCCACGCCCCAGACACAGACCTGAAGTAACAGACTTTCCGATAACAAACAATACTGTATTAGGACAATGACTGGAAGTCCTCCACCACTGCAGAGCTTGCCTCGCTTTCCCCTTGCACCCCAAAGCCAGCAGCCAGCCCCACCATCGCCGCATCCTTGAGGGGAACCCAAGTCCTGCGGGCAAGTCAGACCAAAGGATGACTTGCACCGATGTTAGCTGGGATCCTGTGCAGGCCAGCGAGTGTGCAGGACTCAGACGAGCCTGTTCTTCTTCAGGATGAGGGTCTCCACCTCCTTCATGAACCGGAGGCACAGCTCCTCCTGCCACGGCAAGGCCACGCACTGCACGGCCACGGGCAGCCCCACGCTGCTGTGAAAAGCCTGCGGCACAAACAGAGGGGGAGAGGGCAGGGTGATGTCCAGGGGAAGGGATGGGGATGTTCACACCCCTGGGGAACCTGGCAACACTCACCTTTGCCAGGGTCCGGTCCCACCAGTCCCGAAAGTACCCCCGGTAGCCCTTCAGCTCCTCCTCGTCCTCGTCCGTCACCATCGTGACAGGTACCACGCCGGCGGGGAAGTCCAAGGCGTTGTAGAGCATAGTGTAGCTGACTGCCACTGGGGGAGAGCGGGAGCTCGCCGAGCCAGCCCAGCACAGGGGAAGCCCTCGCCCCTCTGCGCGTATGCGAGCTTCCAGTTAATGGGGTGCTTGCACTGGGAACTCGAGGGCTGAGGGATGGAAACCTGCCCCTTGGCTCCTACATGCACCTGCGGGGTTGTCCTGGGTGCACCCCACGGGCTGGGGATGCAGCTGCCCCAAGGGCCAAGCTGTTCCCACCACTGGCCAGCGCCTCGGGGATGTGAGGGGAGGAGGAGGAACACTTCTCTTCTCCCAAGTAGCTGGTGATAGGATGAGAGGAAATGGCCTCAAGTTTGTGCCAGGGGAGGTTTAGATTGGATATTAGGAAAAATTTCTTCACTGAAAGAATTGTGAAGCATTGGAACACACTGCCCAGAGAAGTGGTGGAGTCACCATCCCTGGAGGTGTTCAAAAAATGTGTAGATGTGGCACTTCAGGACATGGTTTAGCAGGAAATTCTATGATTCTATGGTTCCCATTGATACTGATGGAGTGCTGCAGCAGTGGCACGCTGGAGGCAAAGGTCCCTCATCAGCAGTCCTACCTGAGAGCTTCCCAGGGTAGCCGATGCCCAGAGCTGGGCCCAGCATGGGGCAAAGCATGACATCCAGATTCAGCTTTTTCCACTGGGCAATGAACTGCTGGCAAAACTCCTGAGGAGGAAACATACTGGTGGTTAGTGAGGTGGAGGTGCTGTCTCATGGCTGCTGGCTGAGGTTTCCCTTTGGTGCCCAGCCGGCCTCCCGGCCTCTCTCCAGGAGCAGCCATCAGGCTACATCAGGCCTGATCCTGTCAAAATCCAGCAACCCTTTGCTGCTTCGCCAACAGCCCCCTCAGTGTACAAAGCACTCTCCCCCATGCTAAAACTGGAGATGGGGAAAGATTGAGTGTGGGGGCATGGGCATGGGTCTTGATGAAACCAGAATGGAAATAAAGGCAAGTCTGCTGCAGATGATGGCCTGCGTTTTCAAGTGTAGGAGTAAAAAAGCTCAGGTCCGATTCGGGGTCATGAATGTGTCTACTTGTCATCCTAATCTTTAAATGTACTGCGAACTTGCCCATCGAAGTGAGATCTCTTGAGGAGTGATGTACGTTCCTACCTCACATCACCACTGACTTGATCATCTCCTAACCTTGGTGGGTACTGAATCTGCCTCTTCCCAAAGAGAAATAAAACAAAAACTTTCTAACCTCAAATTGCAATGCTTTACCTCAATTTCACAATGAAGGCTCCAGATTTCATCCACTGTGCTGAAAAAGCAAACAAAATCAATGAAAGGCATCAAGAGGTCCTGAAAAGAGCAGCTTTAGAGGCAGTGAAGAGCATCAAAAAGCAGACGGGCACAGGTTAGCTCTGCTCCTGGAGCTGCAGCCAAGGGAAGAGCAGACTTTGGCAAAGTCCTGGCTTTCCTCTGAAGGGCTGGTGGTCTTATTTCTGCTTCTGCCCATGATGGAGGGCGGAAGACTAAAGGCACATTGGTGCAGTGCTGCTCTGGCCTGACAAGGGTCCAACCCTGTTACTGCTGCTGTGGAACCGTGGTGGAAGACCAGGCACATCATTTCTCAAAGGCCAGGCTGTGTGAGGTGGTCTGAACCTTCCTCTGCTATGGGATTTGGGTCCTTTCACATCACCAACTGCCC